CATACAAATATTTTTTATAAATTGAAAGCTGAAAATACAAATAAGGTAACTGTAATCTTAAAATATTATTTATTTAATATTTAATATCGTATCATTTTGAAAATAAAACAGTAGTTTGTATCTCCACGGAATACTCTTTAAGTAGTATAAACATCTGAAGGATTTAAAAATATGGTCTTAAAGGATGGTTAAAAATTCAAAAATCAGATTTTGAATAAATGCATTATTGAAGAAAAAAGGGAGTGATCATTGTTAGTGAATCATTCTGTATATAAAAATTAAATCAAAATATTATATCCACAATACTATCAATACGTGTAGGGCGTCGAGTAATCTTAAAACAGCTGCTTCTTTTCATATAAATGGCTGAATTATTCATACATGCTCAGATATTTTATTTAACTCATTCGTATTCAATATAAATACCTACTACAAAATGTAAAGTTATTTTTAAAATGATAATAATATTATACTTGAAGTAATAGATTACATTTGATGGCTCAATGTATTATTTTATCTTATTTTTATGAAGGTATGTGAGATTTTAAGTTATTTTCATAAGTGGTAATTTGATTTTTTGGTTTAAATATTTTTTTGGTTTAAATATTCTTGTTCTTAGAACCTATTATTATGGATATAAAATATTGATTTATTTCTAGTAAAAAATTTAATATTTTTTACCTATAAGTTATAAACTGTAATAAATTGTAATAGGTACATTTTTAAATTAAAAAAATATAATAAAATAATTTGTCCTATGTATTTTAATTTATCTATAATTAAACTTAAATTTGTATTTTAGATTCTGAGTGAAAAGATGAATGTATTGATTTTACAATGATGTGTTTTTTTTTTTTAATTTTTTAATTTTTTTTTTTTGTGTCTGTGTACACGATAAGTAGTCGAAATAATGCTTCGATTTTCGACTTCAGTATCTTGTTCGATTGGAAAGTGAATATCGTTGGTGCATTGGGGAGGTCAAATTTTAAAATTCCTAGTCCTTTTAAAAAGCGCCAAGGAAAACAAAAGAAAAATTAAGGAAAAACGGGAATTTTTACGCAAAATCGATTTTTCAGAAAATTGAATTTGGTTTTTGGTGTAACTTTAAAACAAATGACCGTATAATTATTATTTGATTTATAGTATCATATAAAAAGACTGATACCAATATTTAATATTTAAAGAAACACCAATATATTTTAATCAACAAATTTGAAATTTCAATAGTACACAATAAAATAATATAGATACATGAAATTTTCACTGGTTGTTTATATTTGCATTTTATATACACGATAACATTTTCAAAATATTTTGATTTATTTTGAATTGTTTAGGGACATTTTTTTTTAGTTTTTTTTCTAAAAATATCAATAAAATTTTATTTGTTGGTTGAGGAAGCTTGAAAATTTAATAGAAGGCACCTAGTATATTATTGTTTCAAAGGCAGATGAAAAATATTAAAAATCCAAATTTTTACAACGTTGGATATTCACTCGATTTCTCATGTAGCGATTTCCTTATTTTGTTGTAATTCAAAAACGAATAACTGTAGATACATGTAAATTTCACTGAATGTTCATATTAACATTTCCTATACACTGTACTATTTTGAAAATATTTTGACTCTATTTGAGCTGTTTACGGACATTTACAGTTTTCAATATTTTTAGTTTTTTTTTCTATAAATATCAATAAAGTTTTATCTGTTGGGCCAAAAAGTGTAAAAATTTAATACAAGGCTCCTGATATATTGTTACAATATCAGTTGAAAAATATTATAAATGCATAGGCACAGTTTTTTTTTATAAGCATTTAAAGATCGAATTTTGACAAAATTTATCAAAATCTTGAAAATGATCAATCATTGTGATTAATAAATTATAAAATGTTCAGTTTTTATAGCTATGGATTGCAAATTTAAAACAAAGGTTCTCATAAATAGTTCATACTGTAACCAAAAAATCTGAAAAATATATGAACACAGTTATTTTTTACAGACATTTTAAATTCAAATTTGGACGAAATTACATATTAAAAAACCTAGAATAACTATTTTAGTTATTTTGTTGTGATTGTATAATATTATTCGTGGGTACTTGAAACTTCTAAAGTATACTACTATTATTTATTAATTACGTTTTCTAAAATGGTTTGGAATGAGTTGGAAGTTTTTGGATTATTCAAATAGTAGATGTATAGTAATATTATTATGAATAGTCTTAAGTTCTTAAATCGAGATGACTGGTATATATAAATAAATTATTAAACTCATTAATTTTATGTAAAATTTTAATTCGTGTTGTCATTAAGTGTATTTAAGCCGTTCAAATATGATTTATTGATAAATCAATATCTAGTGCTATTGTAATTAGTTAGTATATATCGTATTTGTTAATTAAAGTTATAATGAATTGGTTTTAAATATAGGTCTTATTTATAGATTTACGAAAACATTATATTATTTAAATAATATTAATTCACTGAGTGAACAGATTTAGTGTTTCGATAACTGATACATTCGACAAAATATTAATGGAATTAAAATATTATATAACAATGAAATCCCAGTTTTTATATTGATTCCTGAATTTTTTTTTATTTCATATCATATTGTATAATACATATTATAGTTGATGGTTTCTATATTAATATATTATTTTCATTATTATTAGACAGGTTATAATATAGGTTTGATATTATATTTTATTCCACACTATACACAAATGCATTAATATTGCATAAACACTTCGCCGTGTTACATATTATTTTATTGTGTACTATTGAAATTTCAAATTTGTTGATTAAAATATATTGGTGTTTCTTTAAATATTAAATATTGGTATCAGTCTTTTTATATGATACTATAAATCAAATAATAATTATATATATAATATATTTATAGGTGTGTACTTGTGTTCAACTAAAATAGTTTAAAAAAAATAATATTAAGGTTTTATTTATTTATTTTATAGGTACAATCAATACAATAAACATTTTTTATTCATATATTATTATTATAAACTATTAAAATTTAATATTCGTCTTAACAGCTGTTATAATATTAAACTGCATTATAATACTTAATACTTTATTTTTAATTCGTCTAGATTAATATATAAAAGTTGAAAGCAGGAAGTAGTCTGAAAGCATTTATACCATCAACTCCCAATTATTTAGACATATTTAGAATAATTAAGTACCCCAACCTGGAGAGCAGATTGAAAATAAATAAATTTTATTAAATTTGTGTGTACCTACCTTATATTGCTTTTATTTGGTATTATACATAAATAACACTAACTAACAGTTTAAACATAGAATTTTTTAAAGAGATTAACTACTGTTGGCTCTTTTAATTTATTTTATCCAAACTTATTTGTTCAGAGTAAAATATAAAATGTTTTAGTACCGAGGTGTTTATATTGTTAAACGTTTTTACTTTTATTATAAACATTTAATTTGATTGTTCGTGGATTCAAAATAAATTGGTTGTAATATTTTATAGCTACCCATAAATAATATAACAGTTTAATCAACAAACCGTTAGTTGGCGTATTTCTTAATTTGGATTTATTAAAAATGTTTTATTATCTACATTTTATTTTTGTGGATATTAATGATGGTTTTATGTAGAATTTACATAATTGTGTATAGTTAAAACCACTGAAAAGAAAACTTTTATATTCAACACTTGATTAATTTTTATATTTTAGTTCAATGGTTTGTAAATAATGCTCTCAAATATGATGGTTCTGTATAATTGTGCTAATACCCTTATAAATATATAATGTCATAATATGAAAACTCGCAAGTTGATATGAATAGAAATTAACGAAAAAAACTCGATGCATTGTTTGTGTCGGAAAACACGTCATAATGTAAAACGTTACGGAAGTGAAAAAAAATTTCATTTGGAAATAATTTACTTAGAGAGGTAGGCGCAATACTGAAAACGAATAAATATTGAATTCAATAACGATCAAGTAGATTGGGAAATATATAATACTATTCGTACTGCCTTTATGATTATTGCGAGTGTGATTTAAAAAAATATGAATTCACACGTGGCCGTAAACGAATAGGCAGAAACGACCGAAGAGACATAATAATATTGTTTTGAATATTAATAAAAAGAGAACCAATGAAGCGTATATAATTAATAATTTAATTCAATGCGTATGACTGTTAACTGTTTACACGAATAATGAAAAATATTATTTGATCAAATTTGTCAACAACGACTATCAGAAAATTGCGTTGCGCCGTGAAAGCATTCGGCATAACAGCTAAGTTAATGAAAATGTCAGTGATCTGAAGTCTGGCGCGTTCAGACGTCCAATGTTTTATTTTATTTGGAATCACTTTTCCCCCACGAGATACGTCTTCTGATCACGGGTTTACTAAGAAAAAAAAGATGATTAAGCGAGTAGGCAATTTTATTTACGTCCAGTGACACTAACTACGTACAAATATTATAAACAGGCATACCGGACCACGGTACGTTTTCAGTACAAATTTTGTGTCACGTACGAATTTATTTATTGATATTTTGTGTCTATAGGTACGATAAATATTTGAATAAGAACACCGATGTCATATTATTCATTCTAAACTAATAAAAATCAATCTGGTACAAATTAATTCGATAATTGGGTGGGAAGGTATGTTTTTTTTTATGGTATTAGACACCGTGACTCTTTAGTATTTATATTTAGAATATACTTTTATTTGTTCAAAAATTAAAAACCTAAAACATAAACTTACTAAATTGTTATAGTGATTTAATACGATTTTTATTGAGAAACTTAATTACCTATCAAATATTATTATTATTATTTTATTATTAATAAGTAATTCTTCAACATTTGAAAGTGACTAGATTTACACGAATTGTTGATTATTATATAATATGAAAAGGTAACGTCATAAAAATAAATACATAAATATTATTTGTTTACGATTTACAGTGACGGCTATAGAACATTACAGTTTAGTTATTAAATTGCATTTAATGTGATACAATCGATTATTTTTAAATCTCGATTTTGCTCTAGGGTTTCTTTAGTATTCTGCGGGAGCTTGTGATCTGAGCATGTCGTTTCCCTGGGTTTGGGTATTCCTCGAAAATATAATACGTTTAATACCGGCTGAGGTTCGGCAGCAGGTGTTGTAGCTCGATGGTGGGTCTCTGCTGATGAGTTAACCATTATTCTTTTGTTTTATAGTCTTACTGTTTTCATGATATCTAATTTGAAATTGATCATACTAATGCCTTAAATCGGCGACAGCTAATGGCCAGTGATTTACCATATTATTTTCAGTTTCAGAAGCAAAACACTATCGTTTAGATACGTTTAGACTCGTATTGATAATAATATTTTAATAATATATATATCGTAGTCTACTTACTAGGCATTACGTATTATTATATTATAAGAGTGTGGATGAGTTATGCACAAAGAGTGCTTTTGTATAAGATAGTTAATTGGTCAATAAAACCAACTTTTGTGCGGTATTTTTACAGAACAGTAAAACAGTTTGCATCGTAACAATAGCCAGCAGGTTAGCTGGTGGTATCCATTGGCTGCGACCAACAGACGCCGATGATAATATCGTTAGTGGCACATAATGGATCACGGACCGAACAAAGGATATATGACCGACATTATGCTTTAATTCGTCGAAATAATGAAATCACTAATGTAATTAACCTGTACGTGACAAGAGCACGCAACTCTAGACTTTACGTTGTAACTTTGGTGTTTCGCGCTTTGTATTGTATATATTATAATACACCTAGAGATTACGAAACTACGTGTGTACAGATCGCAGCTATACTTGAGCTTACCTCCAAGCACTCGATCCGCTAAGGCGCTAACAAATCGTTAAGTATGGACTCGATATCCAAATTATTACTATCGTACTGGTTTTAATTTCACTCCCACCCCCAATTTATGTTCCGATAAAATTAACAAAAAAAGATCCAACTACACAGTCATAATAGCAAATTCGCCGCGAGAGGCATTAACATAATATTAAACCTTTTCAATTTTGTAGGTAGGTATTCTGCACATCGCTCCTGTTAGTATTTATGAGTGCTACGTATATCAGCAAAGCGATTTCATTAATCTGCTGCGTAATACGTAAATCAGTTAGTTCCATATTATTATGATATTATGCTATATAATAATATAATAACAATAATAATGATAATATAATCTTTCACTATACAACGATATATTATTTTCATAAATGTAGCGGTCTGGCGTTGTATTAGTTTTGAATATTAAAATATAAACTCGTGCAGGGTACGCAATATGGATTAATAATAACAATAAAAAAATAAATAAATATTCGACGATCGATGTAGGTTTGACTTATTGTCGTACGCGCGAGGAGTATCTTCTGTAATAAAATAAATTAAACTTTGGTCGCCGTTATCCCAAGTTATCCTATAGTATATCTTTGGAACTTTGCCCGAAAATACGTATTTGTTGGAAGGCCTAAATATGCATTCCACACATATCCACCCACACACACACACCCACAAGCACACACACCGGATATACGAAAAATGATGCCGTTGGTTATTATGCGGCATTCACGCGCGTCGTGTGTCTATGTCCAATATATCTTCTTCTTCCACACACTTCCTCGACTATAAACACCGTGTAAAATAGAGTGATGAATGGGCACGAGTGAAATATTATGTATATTGCAGCATTGGAGGGGTGGTAGTAAACTGGGGGCCGCTAACTCTACTACATTGTTCGCATAATCCTTGTTTTTTCGTATTTTATTTTTACCAAGTTACCAACGGTGTTACCGTGGTTTGTGTCATAAACACGTGTTTTTGGAGCATTTTCTTGCGCGTTATGAATACAACTGTACTCAATTAAGTGATGTAGTATGCTCGATAATCAGGATTTTTAAACCCCACCCGTTTTAAATTGTATATTCATAATGAAACTATTAAAATTTACAATTCGTTTTAACATCTGTAATATTATTCTATAATATTAATATATACTTAATACTTAATTTAAATATCATCCAGATTTTTATAAAAGTTATTATAAAAGTTTAGAAGTCCATAAGAGTTTATACTTCCAGTCATTACAATTAAGATATTTATGAACACAAGTCTGGAGAGCAGTTTGATGATGAATATAATATAATATTTTATTAAATTTGTGTGTATCGTATCATTGGTGTTTATTTGGTATTATACGTAAATAGTAAACAGTTTAAATATACAATTTGTCTAAATAGATTAACCACATATAACTTATTACTGCAGTTATAGCTTCTTAAATTTATTTGACCTAAAATTATTTGTTCAGGATATAATCTAAAATGTTTTCAGGGCCAAAGTGTTTATATTTTAGTGACTACCAAACTGGGTGGTGCTAACTTAATGCACTGTTGTGTTTTTTTTATATTTTTAATTTTTTTGAAGTTATCAACGAACGGTGTGTGTCATAAACACGTGTTTTTGGACCATTTTCTCGTGCATGATGAGTACAAATATACTCAACCAGGTACCTACTATAGTACGCTGGAGAAGCAGGATTTCATCCCCCCTCCCTCGTTCAATATTTTATGTTACATCCCAGGGGTGCAATAGTGTATATGTACCCAGGATACGACGTGTGGTGGATATGTATGTACCCGAATGGGTTTTGACCGAGAAAAAAAAATAATAACGTCGGTACTTAGGTATTTTGCATAATTCTCGGAGAACCACCGATCCGAGCGGCACTGTGTTCACAATTTTCGCCTGTGAGTTTGTGCGATTATTTATCTTCACCGGGTTTTCTACCACACAAAGTCTCAGTTTATCGTAATAAAAACCAACGTTAATTTTTTTGCAGTCGAGCTAATATTTTTGTGCTAGTTTTAAATTAATTAGCTCGTACGACGCCGCCACCGCTCAGACAATAATTTTAAATTAAAATATAACTTCTCCGTGGAGTCAGTTTTAATATATATATATTTTTTTTTTTTTTTACTTCAACATATTTTATGTGTCTGTTATACAACACAAATCGAGGTTTAAATCAGTTTTCCGAGGAAAGAAAAAGAGACCAGAAGAAAAAAAAAACTAAATCATAATTTTTCACCATGGCGCTCGTACTAGAACTGCAACATTTTGAACAGACACCCCGCAAAACAATGCCTCGAGAATAAATCGCCGAAAACATTAAAAAGCGCGTAAATCACACGTGCAAGGAAACTATAAAAAAGTATTTGATTTTTTTTTTTTGATACTTATACATGTGTTTATTTTCGATATATAATATATAATACGATGTGTGAGTGGCTATATATATATATTTTTTACGAAGATACATAAAGTAAAGTTTGATCTTGCCGATAGTTTTCACAGCAGCGTGTCTGAAAGCTAAAATCGTTTTTATCGTAATGCAAGTTTTTGGTTTACTGCCAATATGGCGTTGGGCGATAGGTAGGTATGTGTATGAACGAAAAATGTCGTCAAAATTCTGCGGTAGTAAACTATATGATATCGTGGATAAAAATAAAATATCTAAAACAAGTCCAACAGAAAAAAAAATCATAAAACAAACCCTATACAATAATAATAAGTGTTGCGTACAGTAAAAGCATTGTATAGCTAATCATATTAGAGTCATTTAGTGGTGTGGGTGGGTGGTTTTGACCGAGGGTGATATATTCCCTTACGATTTTTTTTAATATTTATAATTAATGGTATATTTGCGTATCGTAAAACGGTTGAAAACATAAGGACGTTTAAGAAACTTTGTGGTGTTTAGTTAAATACGTAGAAGTTGTTATAATATTATATAATAATATGTGCTTTAGATAGGAAGAAAATTATTTTGTATGATTGGAATGAGAATCAAATTTAATTTGTTCAAACATTAAACACTATTATACTTCTATATTTTAAACTATAACATTTTAGGTTTTCGTAATTTAATTTATAGTGGCTAACATTAAGAGTATATGATTCAAATGTTAATTTAATACTTATATGAAAATATACAGAGTTATATAGTTCAATATACTCTTTTCAGAATAAGAAGGAACCAGGCGGCCACGGACAAAACCGGTTTTGTTACGTAAATCTGGTGCGTTCTTATTCTGAAAAGAGTATAGTAAAGAATAATTATTCTATTTGCTCATTAGTCATATTTATTATTCAGTTCTGTATTCCATAAGAAATATTTAATATGATAGTTAAAGTAAGATTCTTATTTTAACATAATGTAATACATTTCACTTTAGTTATAACATTTGACAAAATTTTTTATAGTTAGTGACTTCATATTGCACTACTTTTTACGTTCCGAGTGCAGCGAAAGAACGTATTGATTTTACAATGATGTGTGTGTGATTTTTTTTTCTGTCTGTCAGCAACATTTTGAGTAGTAAATAGGCTCTGATTTTTAAAATCACCATCTTTTCTGATAAAAAGTGAATCTAGTTGGTATTTTTGAGAGGTCAAAATTCAAAATTCTAAGAAGTGTCAAGAAAAAGAAAAAGTGAAAAGTGGTAATTTACGCAAAATCAATTTTTGAAAAAATCGATTCAATTTTGTTTTGGTTTAAAACTCAAAAATTAACAACCGTAGACCCTTGAAATTTTCACCAAATATTTATATTAGCATTGTTCTTAAATTTTAAAATTTTCGAAATATTTTGACTCAATAAGCTTAACTTTATATTAAATTTAAAACTTTTTATACGAATTAGTTTTGTATTGCCTAATCGTATTCATTGGGTTGTTATTAATTTAATATTATTAGAATAATCTTCTCAGTATAATATGGCGGCATTGCTCCTATAATATTTATTAGTTGTATAACAATATCACCTTTTATGTACATGCGGCGTTATTACTCCGATTATTTTTTATAAATGTTGAATGAAATAGCAATATTACAATTTACGTCTATATTGTAATAAGCCATCTTACATACATTATGCTCAGTACAATAGGTTTCTTTTGATATATATAAATTGTAATTAAATCTGAGGTAGATAGCGCCACTATTAAAAAGCAGAAAAATTACGAATCCAGGGATATAATAATTATCATAAAAATTATTTTTTCTGCCTTGTGTGCTCTTCTATTATTAGTTCGATATACTCGTTTCACGAAAATCAAAATATATTGATTAATAATAAAATTATGTGACCACACGCATAAACTCTGGGAAACA